CTGGTGCAAGCATCTTGGAGTTGGAACATTCGCTTTGATGAGATGATCAAAGCGTTTGGGTTTACGCAGACTTATGGAGAAGCCTGCGTTTACAAGAAAGTGAGTGCGAGCTCTGTAGCATTTGTCATATTATATGTAGATGACATACTTTTGATGGGAAATGATATAGAACTCTTGGACAGCATAAAGGCCTACTTGAATAAGAGTTTTTCAATGAAGGACTTTGGAGAAGCTGCTTATATATTAGGCATCAAGATCTACAGAGATAGATCAAGACGCCTCATAGGTCTTTCACAAAGCACATACCTTGATAAGATATTGAAGAAGTTCAATATGGATCAGTCTAAGAAGGGGTTCTTGCCTGTATTTCAAGGTGTGAAATTGAGCTCAGCTCAATGTCCGACCACGGTAGAAGATATAGAAGAGATGAGTGTCATCCCCTATGCCTCAGCCATAGGTTCTATTATGTATGCCATGCTGTGTACCAGACCTGATGTAAACCTTGCCGTAAGTTTGGTAGGAAGGTACCAAAGTAATCCCGGCAAGGAACACTGGACAGCGGTCAAGAATATCCTGAAGTACCTGAAAAGGACTAAGGAAATGTTTCTCGTTTATGGAGGTGACGAAGAGCTCGTCGTAAAGGGTTACGTCGACGCTAGCTTCGACATAGATCTGGATGACTCTAAGTCACAAACCGGATACGTGTATATTTTGAATGGTGGGGCAGTAAGCTGGTGCAGTTGCAAGCAGAGCGTCGTGGCGGGATCTACATGTGAAGCGGAGTACATGGCAACCTCGGAGGCAGCGCATGAAGCAATTTGGGTGAAGGAGTTCATCACCGACCTAGGAGTCATACCCAATGCGTCGGGGCCGATCAAGCTCTTCTGTGACAACACTGGAGCTATTGCTCTTGCCAAGGAGCCCAGGTTTCACAAGAAGACAAGGCACATCAAGCGTCACTTCAACTCCATTCGTGAAAATGTTCAAGATGGAGACATAGATATTTGTAAAGTACATACGGACCTGAATGTAGCAGATCCGTTGACTAAACCTCTCCCTAGAGCAAAACATGATCAACACCAGAATTCCATGGGTGTTCGATTCATCACAATGTAACTAGATTATTGACTCTAGTGCAAGTGGGAGACTATTGGAAATATGCCCTAGAGGCAATAATAAAAGCATTATTATTATATTTCCTTGTTCATGATAATTGTCTTTATTCATGCTATAATTGTGTTATCCAGAAATCGTAATACATGTGTGAATAATAGACACCAACATGTCCCTAGTAAGCCTCTAGTTGACTAGCTCGTTGATCAACAGATAGTCATGGTTTCCTGACTATGGACATTGGATGTCATTGATAACGAGACCACATCATTAGGAGAATGATGTGATGGACAAGACCCAATCCTAAACATAGCATAAGATCGTATAGTTCGTTTGCTAGAGTTCTCCAATGTCAAGTATCCTTTCCTTAGACCATGAGATCGTGTAACTCCCGGATACCGTAGGAGTGCTTTGGGTGTACCAAACGTCACAACGTAACTGGGTGACTATAAAGGTATACTACGGGTATCTCCGAAAGTGTCTGTTGGGTTGGCACGGATCAAGACTGGGATTTGTCACTCCGTATGACGGAGAGGTATCACTGGGCCCACTTGGTAATGCATCATCATAATGAGCTTAAAGTGACCAAGTGTCTGGTCACGGGATCATGCATTACGGTACGAGTAAAGTGACTTGCCGATAACGAGATTGAACGAGGTATTGGGATACCGACGATCGAATCTCGGGCAAGTAACATACCGATTGGCAAAGGGAATTGTATACGGGGTTGCTTGAATCCTCGACATCGTGGTTCATCTGATGAGATCTTCGAGGAGCATGTGGGAGCCAACATGGGTATCCAGATCCCGCTGTTGGTTATTGACCGGAGAATCATCTCGGTCATGTCTACATGTCTCCCGAACCCGTAGGGTCTACACACTTAAGGTTCGGTGACGCTAGGGTTGTAGGGATATGTATATGCAGTAACCCGAATGTTGTTCGGAGTCCCGGATGAGATCCCGGACGTCATGAGGAGTTCCGGAATGGTCCGGAGGTAAAGAATTATATATAGGAAGTGCTATTTCGGGCATCGGGACAAGTTTCGGGGTCACCGGTATTGTACCGGGACCACCGGAAGGGTCCCGGGGGTCCACCGGGTGGGGCCACCTGCCCCGGGGGGCCACATGGGCTGTAGGGGGTGCGCCTTAGCCTATATGGGCCAAGGGCACCAGTCCCAAGAGGCCCATGCGCCTAGGGTTCAAGGAAGGGAAGAGTCCCAAAGGGGGAAGGCACCTCCTAGGTGCCATGGGGAGGAGGGATTCCTCCCTTGGCCGCACCCCCCCTAGGAGATTGTATCTCCTAGGGCCCCCCCCCTTGGACTCCCTATATATAGTGGGGAAGGAGTGCCTCTAAAACCACGCCTTTGGTGCCTCCCTCTCCCTCTCCAACACATCCTCCTCTTCCATAGTGCTTGGCGAAGCCCTGCCGGAGTACTGCAGCTCCACCACCACCACGCCGTCGTGCTGCTGTTGGAGCCATCTTCCTCAACCTCTCCTTCCCCCTTGCTGGATCAAGAAGAAGGAGACGTTACGCTGACCATACGTGTGTTGAACACGGAGGTGCCGTCCGTTCGGCGCTAGGATCTCCGGTGATTTGGATCACGTCGAGTACGCCTTCCTCATCCCCGTTCTTTGAACGCTTCCGCGGGTGATCTACAAAGGTATGTAGATGCAATCCAATCACTCATTGCTAGATGAACTCCTAGATGGATCTTGGTGAAACCGTAGGAAAATTTTTGTTTTCTGCAACGTTCCCCAACACTTTCACCATAATTTTTTTCTAAATTTTCTAGTATTTTGTTTGAATTTATTATTCATAGGGTGTAAATGAGCTCGGGAGTCGAACTGGATATTCGTTTTAATCCATACTTTTCTTATCTCCACGAGAGACTTCTTGCTGTCCAAACCATGTTCTCTACATAAACTACCATGGGGCTTGTAGGATCGAAAGTAGGTCTAGAGGGGGGGATGATTAGACTACTTGACCAAATAAAAATCTATCATTTTCCTAATTTTAAGTGTTGGTAGATCTTAGCAATTAGAACAAGTCAAGCAATCAACCTACACATGCAATTCTAAGAGTGTAGCAGCGGAAAGTAAAAGATTGCATATGAAGGTAAAGGGAAGGGTTTGGAGAAGTTAAACACAATGTAGAGACGGAGATTTTTGGCGTGGTTCTGATAGGTGGTGCTATCGTACATCCACGTTGATGGAGACTTCAGCCCACAAAGGGTAACGGTTGCGCGAGTCCATGAAGGGCTCCACCCATGAAGAGTCCATGAAGAAGCAACCTTGTCTATCCCACCATGCCATCGCCCATGAAGGACCTGCCTCTATCGGGTAGATCTTCATGAAGTAGGCGATCTCCTTGCCCTTACAAATTTCTTGGTTCAACTCCACAATCTTGTCAGAGGCTCCCAAGCGTCATCTAACCAATCTAGAAGACACCACTCTCCAAAAGGTAATAGACGGTGTGATGATGATGAACTCCTTGCTCTTGTGCTTCAAATGATAGTCTCCCTGTCGGTGTTAAAACCGGCGGATTTCGGGTAGGGGGTCCCGAACTGTGCGTCTAAGGCGGATGGTAACAGGAGGCAGGGGACACGATGTTTACCCAGGTTCGGGCCCTCTTGATGGAGGTAATACCCTACGTCCTGCTTGATTGTTCTTGATGATATGAGTATTACAAGAGTTGATCTACCACGAGATCGTAGAGGCTAAACCCTAGAAACTAGCCTATGGTATGATTGTATGTTGTCCTATGGACTAAACCCTCCGGTTTATATAGACACCGGAGGGGGCTAGGGTTACACAGAGTCGGTTACAAGGGAGGAGATCTACATATCTGTATTGCCTAGCTTGCCTTCCACGCCAAGGAGAGTCCATCCGGACACGGGACGAAGTCTTCAATCTTGTATCTTCATAGTCCAACAGTCCGGCCAAAGGATATAGTCCGGCTGTCCGGTGACCCCCTAACCTAGGACTCCCTCAGTAGCCCCTGAACCAGGCTTCAATGATGATGAGTCCGACGCGCAGTATTGTGTTCGGCATTGCAAGGCGGGTTCCTCCTCCGAATACTCCATAGAAGATTTTGAACACTAGAATAGTGTCCGGCTCTACAAAACAAGTTCCACATACTACCGTAGAGAGAATAATATTTCCACAAATCTAATCTGCTGACGCGTTCTGACAGCACGGCGTCATGTCATGGCTCGGTCATTATTCGAACCGTTTTTCTCAACCAGCACCGCATATAACATGAGGCGGTTTTCTTGATACGTCTTGTTAAAGCAGAGATCGTGCCCCCCTTATTACGGGATTCTCATCAATACGGACGTGGGTAACCCATCCGCGCCATTACTTGCGACGCTTGAGGAATAAGAGGTTTTACCAAGCGAGGGGGAGGCACATCGCCTCTTCCGCCCTTATAAAGGGACAAGAATTCACCCTCTTCACCCATACCTTCTTCCCAACTCATTCCATTCTGCTCAGGCTCCAACGCGCGAGCGTTCACCCCCTCTACCCATAAGAGGTCTTCCAAAGATGTCTGGATCCGGAGCAGGAGGCAAATGGATGGCCTCTACCGTCCGAGAGAAGGATATCAAAAAGCTTCGGGAGGCCGGGTATCTGGCCAAGAAAATCGGCCACCATCTCCCGATGGCGGGACAGATCGTCCCCACTCCGGAACCCCACGAGAGGGTTGTATTCCTCCCTCACTTTGTCCGTGGGCTGGGATTTCCCCTCCACCCATTCGTTCGCGGTATCATGTACTATTATGGGATCTATCTTCACGATCTGTCCCCTAATTCCTTCCTCAACATCTTGACATTCATTGTCGTGTGCGAGGCTTTTCTCCGCGTTTCGCCACACTTCGGTTTATGGCTGAAGGTCTTTAATGTGAATCCCAAGGTGGTGGGCGGCAAGCACGCCGAGTGCGGGGGCGCTATGGTGAGCAAGATGCCCAATGTCATATGGCCAATAGGAACCTTTAATGATTCTGTCAAGGAGTGGCAACAATAGTGGTTTTACATCACTGAGCCGAGCGGCAAGGAGCGGGCCGCTTCTCCCGAGTTTTGATCCGGCACCCCTCTGCGGCTTACGTCCTGGGTCAAGAAAGGACTGGATTGGTCCTCGTCCGACGAACTGTCGGTGCTCCAGACGCACGTTAAAGATATGTGAGATAAGAACATTGAACTCATCGACGTAGTCCAGGTGATGTTAGTCCGCCGGATACTGCCTTGTTAACACCGGACTCGCAATCTATGGGAGTTTGATCCGGCCAGGCACCAAACCTTGCGAAGGCTCTTCGGCTCGTCACACGAGGAAATTTGGAAGGTGCTTTTTAAGTCCAGCAAATCGTGGCCGGACTCCGCCGAAGACCGCGGGTACCGACTGTCTCGCCCTGCAAGTTCGGTGAGTCTATCAAACTTTTCCATCCGCATGACCCAATGGACGCGCTTGACGTGTGTTTATTCAACTTTCCCAGAGCTGGACGAAGAAGGTGGAGCGGATCCATTGTCCGGCCCCGCTGCCCGAAGACCCGGCCATCCCACTTCTGACGAAGATGTTGGTCCCGGCGCTTTACAAGGTGCCGAAGAAGACGGCCGAAAAGGAGACTAAAAAGACCCGGGGCGGCCTTCGTCATCGCGGCACTTCGGGCACAATACCCGAAGGCTCTGATGCCCATTCCATCTTCGAAGAGGACGAAAAGGAGGAGGAAGATGAATCCTCTACGGAGGGAGGAAGGAAGAGGACGGCCTCCGCATACTTGGAGGCCGAACTACCCAAAAGAGGAAAGATTCCTCGTCAAGAGGAGTCTCCTGCCGCCGCCGACAGCGACCCGGCATGGGATCCCAGGACCCAGCCCCTGGTGAACTCGTGAGTATATAAAATCCGAATACGTTTAAGCGTCCGGACTCATCCTGGCTTAGTATTTTAACTTAAGCCGTATATTTCTTGTAGTCCGGCGAGGTCTCGTACCGAACAATCCTCATCGGAGGACCTGCTGAGCTCAAACGCTATGGAGAGCGGGACGCCCCCGAAGGACCGTTTCTCCAAATAGGTGCCAAACACCAAGGCCTCATCCCAAAAGGACCCCGGCCAAGGAGAAAAGGAAAAAACCATGAAGGCGGCGCCTAGAGGTCGAACCGCAGGGGCCGGAGACATTGGGAAAAAGATTCCGCCGGCAACCTCTGTCCATCCAGAAGTGTCGGATGCTTTGTTGGTGGCGCTATGAGATGCCTCCATCGTTGATGAACACCATGCCCTGATGGGAGCGGTGATTGAGAAAATTCAGTCGACCGAGAGTGGACTGAATGAAGCATGTATCAGTCTTATAAAAGGCTTTGAGGTATGTTATATGAGTTATCGAGGAGTGTCATAGTATAGATGGTAGCCCCTGATACACTGTTCGGTGAAAGAAAAAACTGGACAGGGGATCGAATTCATGATCTCAGGAAGACTCACTAAATGACATTGATTTCTCTCATGTTTCAAGCAGATACCTGTAGCGGCTGCTGCCTCTCACACTGCGGAGATCGCCGGACTGAATCAAAGTCTGGAGTGGGCCAGAGAAGAGATTGGCCGATTGCATATGTAGTTGAGGGATAAACAAGGTATGCATCAGTATTATGTGCGTTTATTGCGAGATAAATGTTCAGTATGAAATAAGCTGCATAATTTGTGCTGGGAGTTATGACCGAAGTCGAGGCCCTCAAAAGGGCCGTTGCCGAGGCTGAGAAAAAGGCGGCCATGGAGCGGGCTCTTTGTGAGAAACACAAAGCCAGAGTTATTAGAGCTGATCAGGGGCTACAAGAGGCCGTAAGTAAATGCGAGGCCTTGGAGCAGAGTTTAGCGGAGAAAGAGTCCGAACTCACCAAGGCGCGCCAAGCCATGAGCGACGCCCAGGGGGAAACCCAAAGCGCGCTGTAGGGGAACCAAGAAGCAAGGAAGATCGCGGCAGGTAAGCTTTTCCCATGTAAAGAAAATATTTGAAGGAAAAACTATGTTCTGATTGTGAGTCTGGACTTCTCAGGTGTATTTGCTGAGCTGCCGCACAGTATATCAGATGCCGCTCACTTCTACCGAGCCGAAGGAAGGAACACCACCGATAAGCTTTTTTGGTCTCAGTATTTGGCGCCGAATTATCCAGTGCCTTTTGCCGATCAACTGAAACAGCTGATTGAACTGCATAAGGCGGCGGAACTAGCCATGAAAGATGTGGTTATCCGGCTATGGCCTGCCGAACCGATTCCAAGCAGCTACTTCGGGCTCGTAAGGCGACTTATAAGCACTTGCCCTCGACTTGACGTCATCAAGAGGTCGGTCTGTATAGAAGGAGTGTGAATGGCCTTCGCCCTTGCAAAGGTGCACTGGGGGAAGATGGATGTCGAAAAGCTGGTGACCGAAGAACCGCCGGAGGGGAAGGAGCACCGCAAGCCCGAATCATATTATAAGAGTGTCCTGAAAGGATCCTACCTGGCAGCGGAGCTATGTACCAAGGACATTATATTTCCCTAAATGCGGATCATATTGTCCGTTGTAATGTTTAAACAAGGTCATTGATATGTCGACTGTTATATAAAAGTTTACCCTCATGTGCGGCCGTTTGTATATTAAGGCTGAGAGTTGGCCAGTCGTTGGCTTCTGCCCCCACGTAAGGAGTACGGGGGTGTTCGGGATAAACCTGAGCACTCTTTATCCCAGTTTTGGGTCCTCCAAGGGAGGTGCTCAGCACAACGAACCAGGCAATCGGCCTATAGGGCTTTATCACTCTCACTTAGCCAGAGGAGCTTTAGTATGGTCGGCGCAGCCCCTTGTGTTTGGAAGACCGTACTAGGGGCTCTATAAGCGCCTGATCGAAGAAAAAAACCGATCCATCGCACGCTGCATTGGTTATGGCATTGTGCGGGAACCCTTAAAGATTTTGTGACCACTCGAACAGCTGACCAGCTCTCGCCGTATCATGATAGTCAGTTTTCGGCTTTCTCTAATGAGGTGCTCGTCCGGAAGAACCGGGACACAATCACAGTAGTTCTCCCAGTGCTACCTTAGCCGATATAGCGGAACGTAAGGTACCAAAACATAGGAGCCGGGCAAACCCAACTATTGACCCAAGACATGATTCGGAGCTGATGCATATAATGCTATAAGTTCGGGGTGCCGAACTTCCGTGAAGGTGTTCGGACTTTTATTGCTGTGTTACGGGGAAGACGAAGCCCCTGGCATATTTAGGGCGTACCGCTATGTTCGAATGCCATTTGACGAAATGATTTCGATAAGAAATAACCAGCATGTATACATCATATGAATCCACATGTTGTATAAATAATACGTCTATGCGTATGGTACAAGTAATGTGATAAAAAGGAGTTGTGATAGCGGAACCTGCTGTGACCAGGGGGAAGAGGTTGAGTGCGGGTCCGTATTGTAGCCGGGCGGTTGCTGTGGGGAATGTCTAAGGATCCCAGGCGCCTTCGAGCTGCCTCTGTGGAGTCCGTCCTGGTCGGTGCAAAGGTGAACCTGCGAAGGAAATATAAGAAATTTTTGCATGCCGGAGGGCGGTTTGAGCCGCTAAGTTCGGCCTGTCGTGGCCTTTGCCGGAGTGTTTAATTAAACCCTGGACGGGCCGGAGTATCCTTCCGCAAAGTGGTTCGGAGCCCCTTGACGGTGTCCAGGAGCCTAGGTGTCGACTCGAGGTTCGGCTGCCAGGTGCTGCCCGGTGTTCCTACTGCTAAGGCAGTGATGTATTTGTTGGCGTCGAAAGAAAATTCGGCCTTGCCATGAACTGTGATGACACCGCATGGACAGGGCATTTTGAGCTTATGGTAGGCATAATGTGGCGCCGCGTTGAATCGAGCGAACGCAGTTCACCCGAGCAGTCTTGATAGTCACTGCGGAAAGGGGCGATCTCAAAGATTAACTCTTCGGTACGGTAATTTTCTGGTGATCCGAAGATTACCTCGAGGGGAATGGAGCCTATACAGCTAACCTCCATACCTGGTATGATACCTCTGAAAGTGGCCTTAGTGGGCTTGATCGCTGACTGATCGATGCCCATCTTGCGCACTGTATCCTGGTAAAGCAGATTTAAACTGCTACCTCCGTCCATAATGACTCGAGTCAGGTGGAACCCATTTACTATTGGGTCGAGGATTAGTGCGGCTGGATTGCCCCGGTTGGCGTTGACTGGATGATCCGTGCGGTTGAAGGTGACTGGCCCTAGCTTATATTGTGGGACGGCGGGTTCTGTTGAGCCGCCATCCTTAAGGGTGTATATCTGGTCAAAGTGGGCAGTTTGGGTCGTATTTACCACATTCACCGATTGAGTATGGGGGGGGGGAGTTTCTTTTGCCCTCCTGTGTTCGGAAATCTGGGCTCTTCGTCGCTATCGTCGCTTTGAGACCCCTCTTAGTGTTTGGCGCCTGCTTTGCCGGCTTGTTTGAAGACCCAACATTCTCTGTTGGTATGGGTGGCTGGCGTTTCTGGGGTGCCATGAATTTGGCATTGGCGAGCGAGTATGCGGTCCAGACTAGATGGACCCGGATTTGTATTTTTGGGTGGCCCTTTCCGCTGACCGGGCTTTGGGACCCTGAACCCGACCTTAAGTGCCGTATTATTGGTTTTATCACCATATTTGCGGCGCTTGTGTTTGTTGCATCGTAGTTTGCCGTTGGCATCTTTGTTATCCGGGGTTCCCGGATTCCTGGATGTGTTGTTGCTGTGAGCCAGCCAGCTATCCTCGCCCGCGCAAAAGCGGGTCACGAGTGTCGTGAGGGCTGCCATGGACTTCGGCGTCTCTTGGCCGAGGTGCCGGGCAAGCCACTCATCGCGGATGTTATGCTTGAATGACGCTAAGGCCTCTGCATCCGAACAGTCGACAATTTGGTTTTCTTAGTCAGGAATCGTGTCCAGAATTGTCTGGCCAATTCCCCTGGCTACTGAGTTATATGGCTCAAGTCATCATCATCCGGTGGTCGCACATAAGTGCCCAGGAAGTTGTCAAGGAATGCGTCTTCTAG